CTGCCTGGTGCATCTAGCTCCCATGCCTGCACCTCGCTGAAACTGCTCTTGCCAACCCCATCCCCTTGTGGGCCCTTTTCGGCAAGTTCTTAAAGTTACATGACCTCTAGGTCAAGTTGGATGCTCCGGAACACACCATCCTTGACACTGTTCAGTGTTTCTTCTTCCTCCCCAGCTGCCTCTACCTATTTTGTTCCCTTGAAGGTACCATTTCAAACTGAGAAGCAACACACCTGGTTAGATCTGTACTTTAGGAAAGTAATTTTGACTTCAGAGTAGCACATAGGTGGAGGAGGGAGAGCTGGCAGGGAATCTGAGTTCTTGGCACAGGAAATAACATGTGCAAGTCCAAGAGAGGGCCAATGGCGAACATGGCAAGAAGAACAAAGAATCCCCTTTGAGCCCCAGCACAAAGGCGGACCCAGGTGAGCAGGAGGGATGAGGAGAGGGATTGAAGAAGGGGCCAGATCGAGAGGGCTTTTAAGTCACATGCAAGAACAAGGATTTCATCCGAACGGCCATGGGAACAGTTTTAAAGGGGGGAATGACACTTGGGTTTGCATAATTCAGGAAATCACCTGGCTGCTGTGCGGGAAATGACCAATGCTAAGAGGGATCTCCGACAGTTAAGAAGCTACTGCGTTGACCAAGCAAAAGATGGAGGCTACACTGAGGATATGGTGGTGTAGACATATCCTAGAGAAATTTAGGAGGTAGGCACTAGCAGTGTTTCCCAAACTTTTGACATATGTGTACCCTTCTATAATTTTCGTAACGCTGAGTACCCCTCGTACTCATGAGAACATAGAATTAGGCGCAGCTAAGCACAGTGCAGTGCATATCCCCACCAAACTCCGATGCAACACGTACCCCCACCAAACTCTTCCCGTACCCCTGTGGGTACGTGTACCACACTTTGGGAAATACTGCACTAAAGACTTGGCAGTTGTGTGGCTGTGAAGAGAAATATCAGAGTCAAGGACAAGTCCTAGGAAATCTTGGGCAACTGGGTGGTACATTTTCCTGAGATGAAAACCATGGGGGAAGGGGGGAACTTAGGACAAGGGTCGGCCAACTTGTTCTTAAAGGGGCAGAGAGTAAATGTTTTAGGATTTGCAAGCCACATGGTCCCTGCCGCAGCTCCTCAACTCTGCTGCTGTAGCACAAAGGCAGATAGAGACAATACATACAAAAATGCACTTGGTCATGTTCCAATAAATACGTTTCAAAAACGTGGTGGGCTGATTTGCTGACCCATGTTTTAGGACGTGTCACATTGGAGGGGCCTACTCTGGATCCAAAGGGAGATCTGCAGGGAGCAGTTGGAAACAAGGGTCCGAGTGTAGGAGAAAGGTCTAGGCCAGAGAGAGAATCCAGGTGCAGCCAGAATGCAGATGGGCATCTCAGACCAGCAGCAGGGGGTGAGCAGAATGCTGAGGGCCAGGTCCTGAGGACAGGAAGAGATAAAAAGAACTGGATAAATGTCTTTCTGAGTGGTGGGAGGTACACCCAGAGAGTGAGCGCCTCAGAAGTCGAGTGTATGTGGCAACATGGCAAAGAGAGCAGGGCAGCATGAGAGCTGACATGTGTCAGCTGGATGTAAACGAGGGGTGCCAGATCATGTCACCCCAAAAGGTGTCTCTTTGGCACTGTTTTGAGCTAAAGGCCGTTGAGAACCAGCTGATGCACAAAAACTTTAAAAACAGGGGTTTTATAAAGGAAATTTCCATTTATAAATGACGTTTAAATTCCCACCTGTAAAAGGTGCCTCCCCCTCCCATACAAGGAAGAGGAGGACTCATTAATGGAGAAGGTAGAACTTAAATCTGCACAACAAACCTTATTAAACAACCTTTGTCTGCCATACTTTTCCCAGTCACCTATGCATTACTTGTCTCCCTCTCTCACCCATCACCTCCCCCCATCTTTCCCCACCAGAATCCTCAGAGCTCCTTTTCTTTATTATTATTTTTCAAATATTTTTAAAATTGATTTCAGACAGGGAGAGGAAAAGAGATAGAAGCATCAGTGATGAGAGAGAATCATTGATCCGCTCCCTCCTGCATGCCCCTGGATTGAGCCCCCCACCTGAGCATATGCCCTGACCGGGAATCAAACAGTGACCTCCTGGTTCGTCACTCAACCACTGAGCTGCATCACCAGGGCTCCCTTTCCTTTGTTTTAGCCTCAGATGGTAAAGAAGCCCAAGCTCTTGGGGTTACTCATTGCTGGATGCTTCCCGTGTGTGTCTGTGCGTGCATGAGTTAACGATTTCTCTTTGTTTCACTCTTATCTATCTTTGGTTAGCCCCATTTGCAGTCCCATCTGGAGAACCTAAGATGAATAAGGAGAAAGATTTTTCCCCCCCTCCTCTATATAAACAAATGGTTGCATCCCTGATGGGAGGGTCAGTGACAAGAGAGTGACAGAAATCAGGTTAAAATAGGTTGAAGAGGAGGGAGTAGAGATAAGAAAAATGGAGATAGTAAGATGATGAACAAGTCTTAAGAAGGCCGTGAAAATATAGAGAAGAGAAGGTGATGGCTGCTAGGGAAGTTGGAATGGAAGGTTGTTTGATTTTTAATGGAGCAGATTTGTTTAAATGCTGATGGGAAAAGGAAGGACTGTTGAGGTTACAGGAGGTGGATGCTGAATGGCGATCCAACCACTGACTACCTATGGGACCTTGGATACTTTCCTCACCTGCAAAGGTTAAGTAATAATAGGGTCTGCCCTGTGGGTTAAGGTGAGGAGATGAGAAAATGTGGATACATGGCTCAGTGCATAGCAATGAGCTCTCAACAAATGCTTTTCCTGTTATCTCCCCTCTTCCCCCACACCCCCCTTGTCTTCCAGGAGTGAGTCTGGGTGTGAGGTCCTGAGGTCTGCAAGGTTTCTCAGCTTTGCAGGCAGCCTTAGTGATCTGGGAGCATCTTAAATTCCTTCCTTCTGCTCTTCTGTAAAAGCCTAAATAAATGGTGGGGTTTTGTGTTAAAAAAAAAAAAAAATCAATAGGAATAGCAGGAACATGAGTTAGGTCTATTCTAGGGTTCCGCAGATGTACTACAGGCAGGATTTTTATGAGGGCTTTCACTTCCTTTGGCTTATTCCATTGGTGATTGTCTTTAATTGGTCCGAGGTCAAGGCCTTCCAGACCCACATCTTCCACAGGTAAGGGAGAGTGGCAGGCCCTTAGCAGCCCACATTTTTATTGCAAAAGTGAGGAGCATCTGTGTAATAAGTTAAATAGTGTCCTCCTAAAATTCATGGCTACTTGCTGTCTCAGAATGTAACCTTATTGGAAATAGGGTCTTTGCAGAAGTAATTAAGGATCAAGATGAGATAATCCTGGATTTAGGGTGGGCCCTAAACCCAATGACTGGTGTCCTTATAAAAACAGGAGAGGACAGACACACATTCAGAGGAAGTGGCCATGTGAAGACAGAGGCAGAGATTGGAGCGATGAAACCAGTGATTGCCAGGTGCCACCAGTGGCTGGCAGAGGACAGGAAGGACTTCCCCCTAGAGCCTCAGAGGGAGCATAGCCCTGCTGACACCTTGATTGTACACCTCTGGCCTCCAGAACTGAGCATAAGCTTCTGTTGTTTAAAGACACCCTGGATGAGGTAACAGGTATGGCAGCCCTAGGAAGCACTTCAAGTCTGGCTTCATGGCAGTGAAGGAGGACAGTGTCCCTGAGGCCGTGTGGAGGCATGGTGGTGGTGGTGCCTCTTTAGCTTCAGGAGGCAGGAAGTGGGTGCACGTCAGAGCTGGCACCTGAGGCAGAAACACATGTGAGACAGAGTGGGAGGGGCTTGCTGCCCACCGGGAGGGGCCATCGGCCCAAGACTGGTTCCTTGGTTAGAGAGATTTGTGTCAATTCCAAAGCTGCTGTGACTTGACAAGGCATTCAGATTTACCTTGTAGCTGTTATTAATCCTCACCTGAAGATATTTTTTCTATTGAAGGGGGGAGAAGGGGAGGGAAAGAAAGAAACATCCATGTGAAAGAGACACATTGATTGGTTGCCTCCTGCTCATGCCCTGACCAGAGTCAGGATTGAACCTACAACCCAGATATCTGCCCTTGACCAGGAATCGAACCCACAACCCTTCCGTGCATGGGCTGAAACTAACCACAGAGCCACACCAGCTATGGCCAGATTTACTTTTTCTTTTTGGCTCAGAAAAAAACAAAACGAGAATATCCTTTAATAGGCTGATTTATTCATATGTCTCTGGCTGCGGGGTTTCTCTGTTTGCCCTGCTGCAGCTTACCTTACCGAATAAGACGTGTTGTAGATGAAAGGAGTTTTTGTTTAGCTTTATTTTGTTTATCTGGCTAATCCCAGATACTAATGACATGCTAAAAAAGTCTTATCCCTCGGTTTCAGCAGAGTTTGACTTTCTAACTCAATGCAAAAAACACTTATAATTCCAGTGGGATCAGTGGTTCAGATCTACCTTAAATTCACAAATATATTTCTTTAAATGCGATCCATTAGTAGCCTAAGAACTTTACTTCTAGAAAATTATCTTAAAGAAAAATAAAAAATTCAGATGAAGCTTTATCCCAAGATGATTATCATAATATTATTTATAATACTGAAAAACCAGAAACAGCCTAAATGTCTAATAGTGAGTAAACAGTTAGATAAATTATGGTATATTCAGAAGATTACAAATATTTTATGAAGAGTATTTAATGTGTACAAAGAACTTTTAATGATGTGGGAGAATGATAGTGATATAATGCTAAAAGAGAAGAGAAAACTTGTTATGAAATGGTACAGAGGATGCCAATCATTTTTTTAATGCATTAAAAAAATTGAAAGGAAATATCCCAAAATGTCAGAGTAGTCTCTAGTTGAAGGAATTATGGGAGCTAAAAAAAGGAACCCAAAGCATTCTTTCTACTTTCTGTACTTTTTAAAGTGACTTGCTATGTACGTGGATTATTTCCATGGTCAAGAAAAAAGTAAAAACTTTGAAAGTGCTGTGTACGTGGTTTCCGCTTTTATTTTCTTTGATGGATGATTGCACATCAGCAAACCTATGCTAACTACTTAGGCCGGTCACAACACACACGTACGGAAGTCACATGGGCTGTGCCCAGCTGGCTGTAGCTTATGTACATCAAGTTACACAGGTGGACTTGCTAGGCTGGTTAAAGTACACCACCAAACGATGGGACACGGTTGGGTCAGGCTGCCTCTCCTGCCTGCCACTGTCGTTTACAGAGGTCTGTGTGTTGGGCTGGTGAGTGGGGTCCTCTGGCACTCCTTCTGGGGGCCCCTGGGGTTGGGGAAGAGCGCCTGGGTCAGCATCTGCTTGGGGGTCCCCTGATTGTCTGCCTTGCCTTGGTGATGGAGCCTCTGGCATTTTGCTGCCTCTTCCAAGCACTGGGCGTGCTCCAGCCCAGGCTCCATCCCCTCTACTCCACATACCTGGGCAGCCATTGCAAGGGAAGGAAGAACCAAGAGCAAATGGACAGGGTCCTGGTGTGAACCGTGCCCAGGCATGGGAGGGAGGGAAGCGGGAGACGTGACCGTGACACCACACACAAGCTCACTTTTACAGATGGGCCCTCTGCCTCCAAGGTGTGTGGGCTGTGTGGAGCCCTCCAGGGCACAGCCCCTGGGAAAGGACAGCAGAGCGAGGAGGGTAGACGGGGGATGTGTCCAACAGGGTGCTAGGCTGTTGAAAAGTCGCAACTATACACACCTGGGGGTCATGCCCCTCTCCCAAGTCATTTGCACGGTGGGTTAGGTACAGCTAGACTGAAGTGGAGATATATATTTTTTTTTTAGGAAGGACCTTTTCCTGGTGGTTTGGATAAACAGTGAGACAGACTCCTGGGTTCGGCATGCTCTGGGGAGGGCCATGCGACGGTGAGGGGCTCCCTATTGCTACACTCTGTACAGGGCGGCTGGGCCCGCCCGCTGCGCCCGCAGCCCCGGCGGCAGTCACAGGCTTGCCTTCAACCCCTTCCGCCTTTGAGAGCTCTTGGGCCCCGGTGACATGGGGGCTGTGAAGACAAGTGGATGGGAGGGGGAGTCCCCGTGGCCCCAGGGGCACCCCACACGGGGGCTACATGATACTGCACTGGGTAGCCCCACAGCAATCCTTGATGAGTGCCAGCCCGGTCTTGGCCACTGTGGGCTTGCTAGGCGGGGGCTCTGCTTTCTTCTCGGCTCGGGAGCCTGCAGCAAGGTAGGAGCACAGAGAAAGAGAGGGAAGAAGGTAGAGAGAGAGAGAGAGAGAGAGGTGAGGTAAGGAGAGCCCTGACCATCTGCAACCCCAGTCCCATCCCAACCCCCAGCCAGACCTTGCTTCACCTGGTGATGTGGAGAGCTGTGGCATGCATTTTATATGGTCATACTGACTGTTCCCACTGGCCTTTCAGTCCTCAGCTTCCGGTCACAGTTTATAAACCTTATCCTATTCAGTTCTCACTGCCATTGTATCTGCCAAGCTTATCACAGGGCCTGGCATTCAAGAAGTAGTTGGTGAATGACGAAATGGAAACTTTGTTCAAGTCATTCCAGTCTGAGAGCTCGCGTCTCATTCATTAGCTGTTCAGATACGTCTACCACTCAGTCTCCGTTAGCTCTTCTTTGGGACTGTCTATGAGATGTAAGTTGGGCCTTCTAATTCTGTCTTCCATGTTTCATTCCTTCTCTTTCATAGTTTCCATCTTTTTGTCTCTGTGCTGCATTCTGGGTGGTTTTTTCAGCTCTGGTTTCTAATTTATGAATCCTCCCATCAACTGTATCTCTGTATCTAACCCATTGAGTTTTTGCTTCAGTACTGTAACAATATTTTTTTTAGAAAGCCAGGTGTTTGCAAATCTACATTTTCTTTCTTAACAGCATCTTGTTCTATCATTTGTGTTGAATTCCTTCTCATTTTAATAATTTTAAATATATTTATTGTCTCTTTTAATAGTCTGTTATTTCTAGTTCTTGGGAGAACAGGCATTCTCTTTTCTCTTTGTTGATTCAAATGGACTCCTCTCATTGTGGCTCATTTTAATTGGTTTTACATTTTTGGTTATTCTTATTTTATTTTACTTTATTTTTTCATTGATTTCAGAGAGAAAAGGAGAGGGAGATAGAAACATCTATGAGAGAGAAGCATCGATCAGTTGCCTCCTGCATGCGCCCTACTGGTGATGGAGCCTGCAACCCGGGTATGTGCCCTGACTGAGAATACAATCATGACCTCTTGGTTCATAGGTGGATCTTTAGCTGCTGAGCCACATTGGCCAGGTTGGTTTTATATTTTTATTGAGAGCTTATCGTCATGGAGGTTATCCTATATGTGAACTGTGTACGTATTATGGAATACACTGAAGGGTCCCTATTGAGCAATTTTGCACTTGCTTTGCTGGGGTCCCAGAAATTTCACTGTTTTTTTTTTTGTTTGTTTGTTTGTTTTTTTATCAGTTTTAATTTTTCCACTTGGGTTCCCATCACCAGACAGTAATTTAAATTTGGCCCCACACTTAGCCTCTTGAATGTGGTGCAGGCTTGGTGTTTTGATTTCTTGCTATAACCCTACTCTGAAAGCAAGTTTCCTTAGTACTCCTTCTCCACAGTGCTAGGTGGAGTTTTTCTAACTCCCATGGATTTACAGGGGGACCAGGGACCATGTGCCATGCTATTTTAGGGGCCTGCAGAAGGGACCATGGCTCATCTCTCTCTTTATTCCCCTACACTTTACAACTGTATTTTCCTGGGATGTTAACGGATGACCAAGGAAAACTGGGCTTACAACTGTAGTCATCAGCGGCAGCTTTTGGGTTTTGTCTTCCTAGCAAGGTTTCTGGCCCTTTTTACTTTGGTAACAGTTGATGTCCCTGTGGCTACAAGAGTGAGCATGTGACAAAGATCTGGCCAATCACAGTATTTTAGCCACTTGATAAAAATGATGGGCCGAAACCGGTTTGGTTCAGTGGATAGAGCATCGGCCTGTGGACTGAAAGGTCCCAGGTTGGATTCCAGTCAAGGGCATGTACCTTGCACATCCCCAGTAGGGGGTGTGCAAGAGGCAGCTAATCGATGATTCTCTGTCATTGATGTTTCTAACTCTCTGTCCCGCTCTCTTCCTCTCTGTAAAAAAAAAAATCAATAAAATTAAAAAGAAAAAAAATGATGGGTCTACATGGGAACAAAATCCAAGAAAGGCCAATTAGCATCTTTCCCTGATATTTATATACTTATATACCAGCAGAGAGAATCTGTGCTACTGCCTCAGATCTTGCTAAGTTTTATGGCTCTGGAGTTTTGGCCTCACAGAGGAGAAAAATGGAGCTAACATAGAGAGAGGGGCACAGATGAGAAATGGAAGGAAAACAAGGATTCTAACAGTGTCCAGTCCCTGAAGCCCTGGTTCTTGTTGCTCTTCTTCCAAATCCTCTGTTTTGCTAGGGACAGTTTGAATTGGGCATCCCCTTGGTATAACTGATAGCAACCTCACTGGATCAACAAAGAGAAGACAATTCCTTGACAGCAGGGCCATTATCAGCTTAATATGCTAATGAACATTAGAACCTTCCATACAGAGGGTCAAATATGCAGCATTTCCCAAACTTACTTCACACAAAACCCTTTATGCTCTGAGTTTCTTGTGAGACTAATATTCTGAGAAATGTAATTCTGGTTCCACTGCCTTAGAAATTCCAACTCCAATAGAAGCCAGAGCTCCCTGAGCCTCAGTTCCCACCTCCTTGCCTCAGTGGCCACCAGCTCCTCCTGTGAAACGCATCAAACTGAGTGGTTCGAGAATGGCAGCTGCTGCCAGAACCAGCTCCACAGTTTGCAGAACCAGTGCAAAATGAAAATGCAGGGCCCCCTGTTCCAAAATTCTTAAGAATTGTAAGACAACACTAGCTAAGCACTGATGCAATCACAGGACCTCCTAGGCATGGGGCCCAGTCCACAGGCCGATGCTCTATCCACTGAACCAAACCAGTTTCACAGGCTGCACAGCGATAAAGCTGCCCCTGCCCACCTTCATCCCATGCACAGGTTTCAACTCTAAAAAGCATTTTGCTTTGCCTTCTTTGGACCCCACACCTCTTTTAAATTTCCTTTTCTCTTGGATGGGAAGAGAAGAAATAATGTATGCACTCACTGGCTGGAGATTTAGTTACTTTGTCTAGAGGTTTTAACTTGATTCTCAGGAAATCAGCCATTTCCTTGTCTTCTTCCTGCTCCCTGTGAAGACAGATGTGTAAAGACAAGAGGAAAGTAGAGTAAGCAAGGAAAGCATTAAGGAGCTGAGGAAATGAGGCAAGAGGTTACATGTGTGGGGCCATGTAATGGGCTTTGTGGGTGGTGCATGCACGTTGTTGTGTGTTATATATGGTTGATATGTGTATGTTGTGTGTTATGTGTGGGTGGTAGTTGTGTGTTCTGTGTTATATATGTGTGGTGTGCATATGTTTTCTGTGTTATGTGTGCCTGGTATTTATATGTTGTGCTTGATAAACCTGCTCTGAAGCAGACACATAAGGAAGGAACAAATGCTTAACTGAAGCATAGATGAGACCCCAGGGTAGAGGCAAGGAGATCACAGAACCCAGTCTCCCTTCCAGAGTTCAGTGAGCTGGGCAGCACCTCTCCTGACCCTGTACCTTTAAGTCACCCTAAACACCTGTGCTTCCACACGATACATGGCAGGTCTCAGAGGTGCTTCCATAAGATACATGGCAGGTCACCTCACCTCTTCCAACAGTCACCAGGAGCAAAGACAGGGGGCCATGCCTGGCTGAGCTAGGCAAGGTGCATCCCAGGGGCCTTGGATGACCCAGGAGGACACACAGAGTAAAGAGGAAGTTGCCCTCTGAGTTTGAAGAGGCTCTATGAGCCCCTCTCCTTGGGAGGGGCTCCAAAGGCTTTGCTCCAGGACAAAAATATTCAAGAGTCAACATTCATGTTTCCTGGGCTCAGCCTCCTCTAGAGGTAAACCATGGCTCCAGGGCCCCTATTTGTCCAAACCCAGGGGATGGGTACATCTGCAAATAGGAGGGGCATCAGAACCACCAATGAGGGGAAAGAACAGAACAAGGCTGGGAAGGGGACAGGGCAGGCAAGGAAGCAGGTCAGTACAGTGGCAGGGTTTCTGTAGAAACCAACAGAAGTTCCTAGAAGTTGCCTTGATGAGTTCAGAGAAAGGTCAGTGAAGAGAAAATGTGTAGGAAGCACACCTGCATGTTATGTGATGTAATTTCTCTCTGCTCACTTCCTTGAATGACATTCAGTTCAGTAAGACCCACAGGCATTTGCAAGACGCTAGAGCTGGATTTGAGTTTCTCTTGAATGTGAAATGGGTTCTCAGGCCAGAAGGCTGGGGTTCATTTGGATCCAGTGTTAGGGGACCCCTTGGATGAGCCCATGCCTGTTGGGCAGGGCTGTGAGTCCCAGGAGCAAACAATGGGTTTGGAAGGAAACTGAGGCCGTGCTACAGCAGCCTGGTACCCACTCACCTTAACCGCTCGACCTCTGCATCATCCACCAGGAAGTCTCTCTTCTGCACCAGTCTGTGGATCTTCTGGATTAGCTCGTCCTCTCTCTGCTTCTGCAGCTTGGTTTTTTCTTTTTCTGGGAAGAAGAAAGCATCAGCAAAGAAACAATTGAGTGAAATTGGTGAAAAACACTTGCATCTGAGGGGCCAGGGTTGGAATCCTGGATCTACGATTCCAGTAGTTGGGTGAACTTGGAGAAGCAACTTAGCCCATTTGAGCTTCAGTTTCTTCCTCTGTAAAATACAACCAGTGAGGCTTAAATGCAGGGACATTAGTAAATGGCTTAGCAGAGCTCAGATGTGGTGAGCGCTCAGTAAGTGGTAATGAAGCGGCAAGGGGTTCCTGCTGAAGAAGGCAGAGGGTGAGGAGGGCTCAGTGGGGGCGCTGGGAGAGAAACACTCATAGCAAGGACATCCAATGTCAGAGTCCACGCTGATGGCCTGAGTCCTATCCCAACGACCCAGGGCTGGAATGCCGAAGAGAAAACAAAAGAACCAGGACTGGAAATGAGGACTGAGAAAACCACAAGTGCATCGGCCCTCTCTGCTCAGACCCCTTCAGAAGATAAAGTAAATGGGCACCTCATCCGTCCGCATGCCTAGGGCTGGCACTGGCAATTTCCTCTAGGTTTAGAGACAGAATCAAGGTGAAGAAAATATAATATTTGGATAAGAGACAAAATCAACTTCTTTCGTTAACCAGAAGGAAAGTGAGGAAGGGGGAAGAATTTCTGGCAGCCCCTGGATTCCTGACCACTGCTACATTGACAATGGTGGCATCGTTCTTCCTATAGTTGGTCCTATGGGCTTGTTAGCATGGCAGAGTACCTTCCAGCCTCAGCAGGTAAGTTCACACAGTGCCCACAGACTCGCCATAGTACCCTGATCGCTCAGCTCTCTCAGGAGGTCCGGAATGACTTGCAGGTCCCCAAGGAAATGAGAATGTCCCTCCCCAAATTAGTCACCCTGTTTTTTAACTCTTTTCCATTCAGGCATCCTCAGACTCCCAGGTACTCAGCTGCAGCCCTCCACTCATGCAACTCACAGGAAAAGCCACCTACTCAAAGTGGTCTGTGCCAGCTACAAACCGGTCACTTATCCAAGTCTCCATACTAGAGGCCAGTGCTGCTCACCTGCTTGTGTGTCACATACCTTTTCTGCTGGTATCCCTCACCTGTCTGCAGGCATCACCCACCTGCCTCCAGGCTCCATCCATCTGCTCACTGGCATCACCTACTTGCCCAGAGGCCCACCCACTTATCTGCAGACACTGTCATTGATTGGTGATGTGACCTCTTTCTTGCCAACATCACCCACCTACCTACTTGCCAATAAGAACCACCAGCTTACCAACTTGACCTACTGCTTGCTGCCATCGCACAACTGATTCTTAGCATCTCAATGTGCTTGCCCGTGTGTCCCTCTAACATGCATTTCATCTCCACCAGCACCTCGTTAGTCCAGGCCACCATCACCCCTCCCTGGACCAAGCTGTGGCCTCCTCGCCAATTTCCCTGGCCTGTAGCTCCTATCACAACTGTGAGCCCCCCCTTTAGAACCAGACAGTCCTGGCTTGATGCCCAACTTTCTACCCCTCCCAGCTGTGTGACTCTGGGTACAAATGATTAAATGCCCTCCAGATTAACTATTTACTGAACCAAGTACAAAAGAAACACATACTTAATGAAGGAAAAGAAAATCAGGTAACATAAATGTGCAATGGTCAGTGCTTAGTAATTGAAAACTATTATATTTATACTAGAGGCCCAGTACATGAAATTCATGCATTGGCGGAGAGGGGGGGAGAGGGGGAGGTGTCCCTCAGCCCAACATGCACCCTCTCCAATCCAGGAGCCCTCAGAGGATGTCCTACTGATGGTTTAGGCCCACTCCCCTAAGCTGCAGTCTGGCCTCTCTCTGCAGGAGGCAACCGGGCTGATCATCAGGGGAAGATGCCACCCCCATCACCTTGCTGCTACTGCCACTGCCGGCCGCCTCAGCTTCCAAGGTGTTTTCATCAACACAGACTCCAGTCCCTTTACCACAAAAAAATGACAACTTTCTTTAGGCATTTTCAAGATGTCTCTTTCATAGGATATGACCGACCTACCTTCCTTCCTTCCTTCCTTCCTTCCTTCCTTCCTTCCTTCCTTCCTTTCCTCCTTCCCTCCTTTCCTTCCTTCCTTCCTTCCTTCCTTCCTCCCTTCCTTCCTTCCCTTCCTTCCTTCCTTCCTTCCTTCCTCTCTCCCTCCCTCCCTCCCTCCCTTTCCTTCCTTCCTTCCTTCCTTCCTTCCTTCCTTCCTTCCCTCCCTCCCTCCCCCCCTCCCTCCCTCCCTCCCTCCCTCCTTTCCTTCCTTCCTTCCTTCCTTCCTTCCTTCCTTCCTTCCTTCCTTCCTTCCTTCCTTCATTTTTTCCTCACCTGAGAATATTTTTCCATTAGTTTTTAGAGAATGTAGAAGAGAGAGTAAAAGACAGAAAGAAACATCAATGTGAGAGTGACATTTCGATTGGTTGCCTCCTGCATGAGCCCTAATCAGGGCCCTAGCCAGGGAGGAGCCTGCAACCTAGGTACATGCTCTTGACCAGAATCAAACCCGGGCCCTGCGGTCGGCAGGCCAAGGCTCTAACCACTGAACCACACTGGCTAGGGCAGGAGATGACATTTCTTATCCCCTCCAGCAGCGGACCTTCATTTTTTCCTCCAGGAATGAGGTGGGAAAACCATAGATCACCTTCTTGGATTCTTATTACCCAAGTTACCAAGAACACTGTGAGTGGCTTACAGGGAGCTTAGCCAATGAGCAGTCAGAAAAGGTGTTTCCTCTGCAGCTCACCCACACAGGGGGGACTGCTGGTGCACTGCGGCTGGCAGGCCCTGTTCTCCGCGGGCCTGCGCCATCCATGGCTTGCCTCACTGCACACGCAGTCCTTTCCCACCCACCTGCGTGGGCAGTCTCCTCCTGAGTATTGTGACATTACAGTGTCCTGAACAATTTGCATATTACCTCTTTATACTATATGGATTCTCTGAGGGTTTTTTTTTTTCCTCATTCTCTGAGGTTTTTGTTTTCATTTATTCTAGGTTTCTCAACCTTGACACTATTGATATTTGTGCTGGATAAATCTTTATTATGGGGACTGTCCTGTGCATTGTAGGATATTCAGAAGCTTCCCTGGCCTCCTCCCACTCATGCCAGAAGCACTTCCTCCCCGAGCTGTGACAACCAAAAATGTCAGCTGATTGCCCAATTTGGGGGGGGGGGCGGGGATTGTCCTGGCTGAGAACCAGTAGTTTAAACCTTTCCAATAACCAGGTGAGGGTGATACTATTTCTATGTCCAAGGGGAAGGTGACATCCCCATCTACAGCCAGTTCTAAGGCAGCAGTGGTGATGGGAGGGTTTCTTGAGAAACCCTCCAGGCAGGAAGGGTCCAAGGTGTTTTTGTTTTTGTTTTTGTTGAAGAGCTGATAAATTATCTTCTGACCTTGGCTGGTGAAACATAATTTTCTTGGCCATTCGGTGCTCTCTCTCCTTAATATTTTTATTGATGTGTTGCCTGAAGCATCATTCCTTGCCCCTCCCCCTAAATTCAGCTAAATCCATCTATCAATAGAAATCTGACACTGATCCAGGGAATACAGAGAAGACTCTTAACAAGGAGTCAGGGAGAAGGTGAGAGAGGTGAAGGGAAATGCAGGAGACATAAGAAAATGTTAATATCTGAATTTCCACACAAAAGAAATTGGGACAGTGCAATTTTCAGGGGAATCAATGGGACCGGCATTAGAAACCTGGGCTCCGTAATTAACTGGCCCTATAGCCTTGTGCGACCTATGTTTCTCAGCAGGACAGTCCACGGCATTTGGAGAGGAACATTCTTCATATGGAACTGCCCCCAGGCTGCATGTTTTAGCATCCCTGGCCTCTACCCACTGAGTATCAGTACTAATTTCATCTTTATTTAAACTTTTGGGTTTGCTTCATTGTGTATTTAAGCTTCAGAGAGATACAGTGACTTGCCCAAGGTCAAAGCTATGGCCAGAATTAGGACTTGAACTGGATCTGCCTGACAGTGTGTTTGAATCACAGGATCAGGGAGCACTGCACTGAAGAATGTGGTCGTGTTAGGAGACCAGATAAACACTGTCTTCCAGCCCCAAGGGAGTACAGATTGGGGGGGGGGGGGGGGGTTTGGGAGCTCTGAGCAGCTGGAGACCCAGATGCTTACCTGGGATGGCAACCAAGTTCTGCAGCTCCTGCTTCAGGTCCATGATGTCGTTGCACAGCTGAATGTCATCCATCCTGGGGAAACAGGACACTGCCGTCAGCAGGTTACACACCCTGAGTACCTCCCCATTTGAAAAGCATTCCACACCCTGAGCACCTCCCCAATTTGAATGAAAGGAAATTGTGGGAAGGGGTGGCCTTTGTAAAGGCCATACATGCTTTTGTAGAAGTTTTCCCCCAAAAGAAGAAAAATAAAGATCTCCCTATATCTCACTACTTAGAGATGATCAGTCACTACTACTAACACCTTGTTAGTGTTCCTCCCAGTCTTCATGTGCCTGGCTTTTATTTGCTTGTATGAGCAAGCTCCGTCGTGGTCAGCAAACCGTGGCTCTCAAGCCACATGCGGCTCTTTGGCCCCTTGAGTGTGGCTCTTCCACAAAATACCATAGCCTGGGCGAGTCTATTTTGAAGAAGTGGTGTTAGAAGAAGTTTAAGTTTAAAAAATTTGTCTCTCAAAAGAAATTTCAATCATTGTATTGTTGATATTTGGCTCTGTTGACTAATGAGTTTGCCAACCACTGAGCAAGCTTATGTGGCAGGTTCAGTGTATTCTTTTATCATCTTGTTGTTAAAATGTTTAAACATTACAGAAATTCACAGCATAGACAGGGAAAATCTCACTCTGTCCTTTAGAGATAACTATTTTCAACAACATTGTATATATTCCTCCCGATTTAAAAAAATGTTTATGCTTATAGCATATTGTTGTTATTATATCATATTATATTATATGTTATTATATCATGTTATTATATCATATGTTATTACAATATATCATATCATACCATATAGCATATTGTTGTTATTATATCAACATACATGTTGTAACTTTCTAAAATTTAATGATATATCTTGGGTATCTTTCCACATCAGAACATGCAAATCTTCTCATAATGGCTGTATACTATTCCATTGTGTTGCTATACAGTGATTTATTTAACTGTTTCCGTATTCCTAGACATCTGGATAGTTTCCTCATACATTCCTAGGATAAATTCCTAAAAAAGTAAATTCCTAGAAATGTAATGGCTGAGTCCAATATCATGAACACACGCATTTTAATAGCACTTTTCAAACTGTCCACCAACAGTGTGAAAGGATGTTCACTCCCATAATCTCAGTAATCAGGTTGCATGGACAGTTTGCTTTATGTACTGTGTGTGTGTATGTATGTGTTTTTTTGCAATATTAACTCATCTTATTGTAAACTATATTTGTAATGGCTGCCTGAAATTTCACCGAGTAGATTTATCGGGTCTGTTTTCATTATGTCTGTATCTTTTACTTAGGTGGGTTTTCCAGGTTATTTATGCTATTTTAGTCACTGTATGATGAACTTGGATCCATATAGGCTTCTTCCTCAGATTGGATTATTTGGTGTGTGTGTGTGTGTGATAGCAGCTATAGAATCTCAGAATTGGAACGACTGAGTACAAAAGGCTTGGCATGTCTGGGGTCATTGAGATACATTATTAAACTGCTTCCCCTTGAAGGAGGTGGGGGGTATATGCCTTTATTTTGCAAGTCTTTATTGAGCATTTACTACGTCTGCCACTGTCATAGGCTCCAGGGATGCAGCAGTTTCTTTTGCTCTTATGAGCTGAAATGTAGGCAGAGGAGACAGTGGGTAAACACAAAACAAATGCTATGAAGAATAAAGCAAGAGCGGGGATAGAGTGGGCCAGTTTGGACACAGCATCCTGCTGTCCCAGGAAGAGACAGAGCGAAGCATTAATATTCTCAAAGGGCTCAACTGTGCCCACACCGCATATGAGGGTGGGGCCGGGACTAGAAATTAATCCAAGTCCACTGATCTGCCTCCTTCCACAGCATCTTGGCCAAGAACTGGTCTGTTCCCTCCACAGTGTCATCCACAGACTAGCCCTTTGCTGCTCAAGCATTGCCCATGTTACCCTTTTTAATCCCAGTATCCCAGCTTTCAGGACAAGAGGCATGGACATCACACTTTAGCCCGTGTCTCCTGTTGCCAGAGGCACTCCAACCATTTGTCAGGCCCTGTCCTGGAATGTTCTGAGGTGGCAGCTGCCTCGAATAATCTTGGGGAATTGCCAGAAGCATACACACTGTTCCCTTTGGTTTCTATCAGCAATAGTTCAACTAGTGGAGCTCCCTGGCCCTTTTCCACAGCTACTATGCAGATCAGGTTACATCGGTGGTTCCTAATGGGGACAATTTTGGTCCCCAGGGACATCTGACACTATCTGGAGACATATTTGGTTTCTATAACTGGGTGTGTGTGGAAGTGCTATTGGCATCTGGTGGGTAGAGTCCCAGGATGCTGCTCAGCACCCTGTAATGGGCAGGATAGTCCCCCTCAATAGAGAATTATCTGAGCCAAGATGTCAATCATGCTGAAGCTGAAAAATCTAGGGTTGCACCATGCAGCTGACACAGGTCCTGATGATCATTTTTTTTTCTCAGAGATCAGAGAAGGAAAGGTGGCGAAAGGAACAAAAGAGAGACAGGGAGTGCTTAGAGGCAAAAGTACTGCCACCAAACAGCTCCAGAGGGGAGGGAGAGGGGCTTGCGCCGGTGATTTAGCATCTCTGAGTTTCTTTCCTCATATTTAAAATAGAAATTTTAATAGCACTTCTCCCTAGGATTATATGCACATCAAGCATTGAGACATCCATAGTAAAATGCTTGGTAACTGTTATTATCATTAGCTGTTAGAAAGAAACAGGGAGAAAAAGGTAGAAAATGCTGCTGGACAAGCAGTTTATTTGACTAATGGAGCTAACATGCTCAACCTTTAAAAAACAAACAAACAAACACACACACACACACACACACCAAAAAACCTTATTTTTCTCTATGAAAGTTTTAAAATAACATTCATATCTGATCATAGAACAGGTCCCTGATTACTAGAAATTTTGAAAAACAAACAAGTATGAAGAAGGAACCTAAAATTATGCCTAACCTTGACCAACGTGCACCCAGAGGTCAATGTTCACTCCCAAGTATTTTGGTGTATTTCACATCAATTATTTTCATGGATGTAGCCCAGGTAGCAGACTTGCGCCTTGGGTGACCTTAGTCCATCTCTAAACTGCACTCAGCATGAGTTTGAGTCCTCCCAAACACATCCAAATCCAACACACATTAACAAGTGAAATGGAGTTCTGATGCTCTCACAGGGAGTCAGCACTGTGGTTTTCCTAAACTCTCCCTCTTGCTGCCAGGCAGTTTCCCATCTTTCTTTCTCTCTCTTCCTCTTCCAAATGCCTCATAGTTAAAGGAGGGTCAGCTTTGGTCGTCAACTTAAAAACCCCAATTGGCAAAAGCAAACCCCAATTTTTGAATATTTCCCCAGGAAAGGAGCTTGTCCTCCTTCCCCACCTCCCCCAACACACACACACACACACACACACACACACACACACACACACTCCAAGCTGTCTATCAGAGCATTCCACTAATGAAAAATCAGGTCATTTTCTGGAAGATGGAGGATGGGTTTCACCAATAAAGAAAAGAAGAAGTCAACGTTTACTGAACATGTACTATGTGCTGGTCATTGTCCTCACCACTTTCCATGCATAAACTCATCTAAATCTTCACGGCAGTCATGTGGAAGAGGTACTGTTTTTATCTCCATTTCACAGGAGATAAAAAAGAAGTCAAGCAATGTGCCCAAAGTCCCACACTGGCATATGGATGTTGGGATTTAGCCCAAGTTCGTGCCCTGATCACTTCCCCAGGGTGTCTCCCCTCCTCTTGGCTGGATTAGTTGCTGCTGACATGGTTGGTTGCCCACATAACCGACCTTCCTCTTCCGAGAGCCCTGACTTGTTTGGGAGTCAGTGTCTCCATCCTTTGATGGAAGCCAGTTATCTCAGTCTGTTCAGGCTGCTATAACAAAAATACCATAGGCTGGGTGGCTAAACAACAGTCCTTGATATCTCAGATCTGAAGAGCTGGGAAGTTCAAGATCAAGGGGTTAGTTGATTTGGATACTGGTGTGGCTTCTCTTCCTGATGTGCAGATAACCACCTTCTTGGTGGGGAACGAGATCACTCATCTCTCATTCACCAGGGCTTTGCCCTCGTAACTTATCACTTCCTGCCCTGGTCAGATTGCTCAAGTGGTCGGAGCATTGTTCCATACACCAAAATGTTGAGGGTGTATGTTTAATTCCTGGTCAGGGCACATATGGGAGGTACCAATCAATGTCTCTGTCTCTCTCTGTCTCTCTCTCTTTCTCTCTCTCTCTCTCTCATCCTCCTCCTCCTCTCTTTCTCTCTCTCTCTTTCCCCCCACCCCCACCCCTCCCTTCCATTCTCTAAGAAAAAAAAGCAAGGAATAAAATATATCCTCAGGTAAGAATTAAACCCCCTCCCCTCCACCCCAAAAAAAAGAAAAAGGAAAAAAAAGAAAGAAAATGACCTAGTTGGAAGCCTAGTGAAAACCAGCAGAGACAATGAAGTGAAAGCTGAAGCAGACTGACAGAGGAAAGGATTGACTTTTTAACATTTATTTGGATCCTTCTTTTATAATTTGTGGATGCAGTGGACATCTTGGGATGGCTGAGAAGAAGAAATGCCTGGTCATAGAGGTCGAGCATTGGTCTGTGATGTGAAGCCTGGATCTGAGTCCAAGTCCTACCATAAACCTCCTCTATGACTAAAAGAAAAACTCTGATTTTCTATACACTCTGCACACCTGACACCAAATGTGTGGGTTTTTCCGCGCCAAGCAATTTCTCCAGTTCTCAGTGGACACTCACTAGGTGTCTACACTCTAACTCAATTCTGATACTCACTGCCCGGAGTTAGCATAGACCCTGTAAGGCTCAGGCCTACTTCAGATGCCAATCAAAAGTCCAGGCCACCAGTACTTCTGACCAACTCACTATGAACTGGGGGTTGCGAGGAACCCCTCTTCAGGTTCTATAATTTGCTAGAACTGCTCACAAAACTTTTACCTGCATTCACTAATCCTATATAATAAAAGCCTAATATGTTAAATGTCCAAAATTTGTTCAACTG